CCAAAGCTTATAGTTGCGATGAGAACAAAGTTTGGGTCCAGTGGCACCTTTAAGACTACCAAAGTTGAATCCTAGGTATACATTTTCATGCATGCAAATGAAAGCTGATAACCCAGAATTAAACTTGGTTGGACTTGAAGGTGCCACTGGACCCAAACTTTGTTCTATTGCTTCAGACCAACACGGCGACCCTCCCTGAATCTAGCAGCAAGAGTAGCCCTTCCCCCCCCTTTACTAGCCGCCTGGCACAGCTACCGTCACCAACGTTCCCTTTTTGACTTTTTGACTCAAGGGTATGTGCAGTGTTGGAAGAGCATCCAAAACCTATCACCTCTGTGAGGCTGGGAGCAGGAGAAAGTCTCTCCGGGTGTTCCAGTCAGCACAGCGGAGGAAGAGGGAGGAAGAGTCGTCAAGAGCAACTACGCACAGGCACAGAGGAAAATGGTATACCAGGGAGTCCAGGGTTCAAGGATCTCAGACGCAGGGTTAGGGAAAAGATAGATAAAATTGAGCTAGAAAGGCTCTGATGCACATAAGGCAGCCTCATACCCAATACACACGTATCGTTTGAAATGCATTTTCTGGAAAGGGCAGCTTACAACGGCGGAGAGGCCCTGCCCTACATCACAGACGTCATTCTAGCCCACCCCCCTAGCCCGGAGGCATACCAGCTGTAGGGGGGAAGGCCTATAGCTCAGGGGCAGAGCATCTGCTCGGCATGCAGAAGGTCCCAGGTTCAATCCCCGGCATCCCCAGTTAACAGGGACCAGGCAGGAGGTGATGGGAAAGACCTCCCTTCGCCTGAGACCCTGGAAAGCCACGGCCAGTCTGAGTAGACAATACTGACCTTGATGGACCCAGGGTCTCATTCGGTATAAAGAGGCTTCACATGTTCATGGGCATTTGTGGGATAGCTCCCTACAGGTCAGTCTTTATAACCCAGACAACTGGGTGTGCAAATAAATATCTGCACAGATTTTTCTTCCTGTTCCTCAAGGAAAGGAGCCTGTTCCGCCGCACCAAGCACACTTGATCTAATCAGTTAGAGAAAAGAATTCCCAGCAGTCGGCCAAGATCTCCACATTTCAGCAAAACCTGTCCTTTCCCCCCACTCAGATACACGCTAGGAATATCTGATTTCCCGGCTGCCCCCCCCCCAAGTTTATCAGGAGGAGACAGCAAAACAAGGTCAAACGAATGGGCGCCCGTCGGAAGTCTTACAAGGGGAGACGTTCAAAGCGGCACAGTTTTCTCAAGAACCGCACATTGCTGCCTGCTCCCCATAACAGATGCCCCTTTGTGCGGGCCAGCCACTCCACACTAAATCATTCTGACAGCCCGAGCACACATTTATGGAGCCTTAGGAAAGCAAGCGGCAAAGGCAAAAACAAACAGAGAAACGCCACAATTTCACAGCTTTCCGGACAGCCCCGGCAGGAACTTTAACCTTCTTCAGGAGGGGGGAAAAGCATCCGAAAGCATCTTAGTTCTACCTCCAAAACGAAACGGTCGAAGATCCTGAACGGCCTCCTGAGAAGCAGAACTCCACAATGGGACCCTCTCCGCCCCCCAACGCATTCTGAAACAGCTGCCGAGACTTGCAAACTTCCAAGACTGTGCACGCAGAAATGAATGTGAGCATGTGCAAGCGCATGGCGGGGCGATCCAAGTGAAATCCTTCGCCTAGGCCGTGACCATCGCCACCCTGTCCGGCTCAGCCGGCTCGAGGATTCCAAAAATGGAGTCCAATTTCCTTCGACAGACTATTCTACCCACCGTTCTGGGGCCCTGGGAAACTGCAAAGCCCCAAATAAACCAGTATTTTTTTTCTCTCTGTACAGATGAGAAGTGAACCACGATCAGGTAGCTAAGACTGCAGTGTCCCCTCTAAGCTGAGTTAGTGTGAACTAGCTCACAGTTTTTTTTCGCCTCCGGCTCACACATTTTTGTCTTCGCTCAGGAAGGGATGGCTCCAGAGCAAACTGACTGATGCAGCGGCCCAATCGCTCGCTCACAACTTTAAGGCCCATAGCTCACAAAGGAGAATTTTTGCTCACAAGACTCCACAGCTTAGAGGGAACGTTGGCTAGGGGTCCAGAAGCACTTCAGACCCAACAAGATTTTGGGGGCGGTTACGAGTTTTGGAGAGTGAATGCACCCTTCATTAGATGCACTTGCACCTGAAAATAGTTAAGGGGGACTCCACATCTTCCTGTGGCTTCCTCCACCCCCATCAGTGTCTAAGTCCCACAGTAGCTCCATGTGGCCTTGCTAGACCAAAATCTAGGCCTGCTCTCTGATCCAGCTGGAGACAGCCATATGCTTCTGAGCCGGGCAACAACAAAAAAAAGGGACGGATGAGCATCCCATGGCAGCCAGCAGAGGTACACTGCCTCTGGATGTGGAGGTTCCACTTCGCGACCTGAAGCAACAGAACAAAGTTAGAGTCCGGCGGCACCTTTAAGACCAACAAAGTTTTATCCAAGGTGTGAGCTTTCGTGTGCGCGCACACGAAAGCTCACACCTTGGATAAAACTTTGTTGGTCTTAAAGGTGCCACCGGAGTCTAACTTTGTTCCAATCTGCCCGTCCTTGTCTGGAAAGTTCTTGTGAAATTTTACTTCCAAGTACACACGCTTAGAATCAAGGTGTAAATCCTTCTCTCGCTACTGAAACGCCCAAGCGGGTATCTGAGGCCCTTCCAAACACCCTGAATCTGAGATTTCCAAACCCCCGCTCCCATATTCTATAGTTCTGGTAGGTAGGCTACAGAGAAAGTCATGCCAGAATAGGATCGGTCATCCTCCAGTGGAAAGACTTAGTCAAGACCCTTCCCAAGCAGGTGTACTCAGAATCCTCAAGTCTAATCAGAGTGGCTTACTCCCAGGAAAGCCTTCTCAGGACTGCACACGATCCCTGGCACGGGCACAGCCCTGCTTCACCGGGCTGTGGAACGGGTGGCAGCAAGGAGGCGAATGCCCTTCCCATCTTTTGCCATCTGCAAACTTCCAATGGGAGAGGGTCTTTTTAAGCAATAGATGGGTTACAGTGTAAGTCTGCAGTAAACAAGAGCAAGAGTCCGGGAGCCCCTGAAAGACTAACAACATTTGTGGCAGAGAAGGAGCTCCTTCTCTGCCACAAATGTTGTTAGTCTTTCAGGGGCTCCCGGACTCTCTTGCTCTTTCTGTATCTGAAGAAGTGACCTGTGACTTCCAAAAGCTCATAATCCCTGGCCCGAATTTGGTTAGTCTTTTAAGGTGCTCCTGGACTCTCTTGCTCTTTTCGTATCTGAAGAAGCGAGCAGTGACTCCCAAAAGCTTTTACCCTGCCCCAAATGTGGTTAGTCTGTCAGGTGCTCCGGGACTCTCTGGCTCTTTTCGTATCTGAAGAAGCGAGCAGTGACTCCCAAAAGCTCACAGTCCCTGCCCAGAGTTTGGCTAGTCTTTCAGGTGCTCCGGGACTCTCTTGCTCTTTTCTCCTCTTCCAGCAATGTCTCCAAAGACCGGGCTGAGCCGACCTCCCTGGTATCCAGTCTCCAAAATGCCGAGGCGCCAAAAGGCTCGGCGGGACCCGAACATGCAAGGCCACAACACCGCCAAGGCCCCCAAAGACTCGAAGGATAGATCCGGTTGGCCAGCCGGATTGGTCTGAAGCAGTACAACCAATCGAGAGTCCAGTGGCACCTTTCAGACCAGCAAAGTTTTATTCAAGGGATGAGCTTCTGTGTGCACACTTTAGAGTCCAACGGCACCTTTCAGACCGACAAAGGTTCATTCAAGGGACGAGCTTTTGTCTGCACACTTTAGAGTCCAATGGCACACTTTAGAGTCCAACAGCACCTTTCAGACCGACAAAGGTTTATTCAAGGGACGAGCTTTTGTGTGCACACTTTAGAGTCCAACGGCACCTTTCAGACCGACAAAGGTTTATTCAAGGGACGAGCTTTTGTGTGCACACTTTAGAGTCCAACGGCACACTTTAGAGTCCAACAGCACCTTTCAGACCGACAAAGGTTTATTCAAGGGACGAGCTTTTGTGTGCACACTTTAGAGTCCAACGGCACACTTTAGAGTCCAACAGCACCTTTCAGACCGACAAAGGTTTATTCAAGGGACGAGCTTTTGTGTGCACACTTTAGAGTCCAATGGCACACTTTAGAGTCCAATGGCACCTTTCA